TAACTACATTTTTCAGGATGGAGCATTTCAATGACATGCATGTTTCCTTCCGAGATGACACTCAGAGACAATGCTATGCGGTCCTTTCACAGCGACCCATGGCACCGACCAGATATCCAGACCAGATTTGCATGGAAGCTCTTGGCTTTGAGGCCAATATCAAGTATCTATGCAACCAGCTAAAGTGGGACGAGTATGCAGATGACCTAAATGTGCCCTTTTAGGAAACCTTCGCGAAATTCAGAGTTCACAGATTGCCTTGTCCACCAGATTAAACCAGTTCGAAGCTTCTAAAAGCAGTCGTCATCGTAGCCGATCCCGTCATCCTAGACATTCATCGTTGGATGGCGAGGGACCCATCCAGACTTAATACTTTACCAAGTGACTCTTTCCTTATCTTATTTCGTAACATTGGGGACAATGTTCGATTTAAGTGTGGGAGGAGATTTACTCGCTTTATTTTTCTCACATTATTTTTTCTCGCTTTATTTTTCCTTTCCTGCATTTTCCTTCTTGTTATTTTACTTCTGTATTTGCTTTAGTTTGCTTGTTTTCTTTCTTTTCAAAATAATACATGTGTTTGATGAGTCATCTATATCTGTATGGTCTACTGTATGTCCACTCCCCCATTTCTTGAGCCTAACCGGAAAAAAATTTCTAAGAAAACCATTGTCTTTTGAACTTAGTTGGGATATAAGACCTGGTTGAGATAGGATATAGTATGACTTGGGAAAGCCCTTTTGAAGCATCGACATTGTTTTTACACCTTAAACTTCGTAAATTTAGGAATTTGGTCCCGATACCCCCTATGTTGTGGCCTTAAAATTTTCATTCCTAAATCCTTGAATAGTTTATCCTAGCAGTCAGCTCCGGTCTAAGCATGCTCTACGTAGGGGACCGAAGAGAAGTGAATAATCTATATGTTATGTTCTTATTATAAACTACAACCCTAGGATAAGTGACCCTCACAATGTCATTTAACTGAACAAAAGTTGTATGTTGAAAAATAAAGCAAAAGCAAAAGCAAAAGAAGAATAAAAAGAAAAAGAAATTTTTTTACCCATCTTTAGTTGGTTCAGAGGTATCTGGTGCTGAACTTGGTAGGGCGGATTACGATCCGATCCCCTGCAACTATAAATGGGTCAATAAAAGGGGTTACACCAACTTTTTATACCAGAGCCCCGTGTTTTATGATCAGAATCACTACCCAGTCACTTTACTATGAGCATGTACGAATAACTGGCTTAATGTGATTGCACCTGAATGAAAAAGGATTTGAAAAAAAGGAAAAAAAATAAGCCTAAGCATAGTGGCATGATATGGATTGGTTCGTAAAAGAATGAATCTTATGTCCGTTTTACGGAAGAGTGTCACTATGATATCCTTGGTTTGAATCAGTCAGTACCTATCAATACATCCCTGTTTTAATTCCAGAGGCCCCTTGCAGCCCAACTTGTTCACTAACACCATTTTTCTTCTTAATCTATTTAGAGTTTTTGCTTGAGGACAAGCAAATGTTTAAGTGCAGGAGAATTTGATAACACTTACTTTACACTTGTTTTTTACTCTGATTTCACATGTTATTTAGGTTTTTTGTTATTGTTTTCTCGTATTATGCCTATCTTTTGTTTCCTTTTCAGGTATTTCAATTATCCAGAGCTTCCCTGAAGAAATGAAGAAAAACAGGCTGAAAAATAGAAGTTTAGGTCAAACTTGCACTCATGGCATCCACCATGGCGCCAACCATAGGGTAGGCCATGACGTGGACCACCTCCTGCTGACCTCAACTGCCACGTTCCCAACTTCCTTTCATTTACACTCATGGCGTGCGCCATGGCCTCCATGGAGGGCGCCACCTTTGGATGATGTTTTCCCCCCAAAAAAGAGTTGGGGGGCATTCCTGTGATTTCCTTTATTCTTCATCCTCTATAAATAAAAGTTCCTGATCTCATTTCAATTCACCCAAGCTTAGTTTCAAACTTGATCCAACTATAGTTACGAACTTAAGCCATATAATTTCACCATTGTAAAGCGATAATTCTTCACATCGGAGAATTATTGCACTGTTGATTGAGTCTATGATCGAGTTCGTATATTGAGTCTGTAATCGAGTTTGGAGCACTTCAGAAGAAGTTTATCCTGCCACATTTATTTTCAACTACTGTTTATTTCCAGTCGCATTTTACTTCCAGTTCGTACTAGATTTAAAACCTCCCCATTTGGAGCAGGTTTCTATTTATATTTCCCGCACCTGCTTTTACTTTGTTTATTTCCCGCACCTGCTTTTACTTTGTTTATTTCCCGCACCTGCTTTTACTTTGTTTATTTCCCGCACCTGCTTTTACTTTGTTTATTTTCTACACTGCTTTTACTTTATTTATTTCCGCACCGGACTTTAAATTATTTACTTTCTCGCATGATTTATTTTAACCTGTCTGTTTACATTCCCATGTCAGGCTGAACCTTACTGGGATAGAATGTAAGGAATCTAGTTAGATCGATATTCTAAATAATGTGTCAATAGAAATGCTTATGGGCTATTTTGGTTTTTAATACAAGTTTTCTGTACTTTATTGTTGTTGGGTAAGATCGAAAGCCGTCCAACCCTTTGTTAAACTCGGTTAGTTCTAACTGGTCAAAGGAAGCGAAAGCGCTTTGTTCAGTTAGTTAGGGATTTTTATTATCAAAGAAATCAATTTTGAAACTATTTTCAAACGCGTTTATAGTGTTAAAGTTAGGTCCCCTTTTTATTATAAATTCCAGATCAAAATACTTTTCAACTTGGTCAAGTACTTTATTTCTTAAAAATAGTTTTATTACTTTAACGCAATGCGCGCCTTTTTATAAGTGACGATAAGAAGGTCTGATTAGAGAGTAAACTCAGTTCTGATTACATGAAAGTAATAGTTCCTGTTAAATTAGTTCTTTTCTTTACTAGAAAATATTGTCCTATAAGTAGTTCTATTCCGAAGCATTGTGAATATCATCTGATTATGTGAATTACATTCGACCCTGCTTTTATATCTGAAGTTTATTTTGCCGCACTTTACTTTCTTGAATGCTCAATTCCCTGTTTAATATTGACTTAGCTAAACACCGTAACAATAGGAAATGATATATTGACGATTGGTCTCTGTGGATCGATAATCTTTTATATTACGCTGATGCGATTCATACACTTGTGAATACACCGCATCAGTATGACAGTAGGGTGTTATCTAAAGCCACCACCTCTTATTTTTTTACTTTAGTTCCAAAGAAGAGTATTCTGATGGTATTAGATGACTATAGGAACATTTTCCTTGTGGGGTGTTTATATAAAGCTTTGTCCAAACACTTGGTTGCTGGATTAAAAAAAGTCATGAGTTTTATTGTGTCAAAGTCCTAGACTGCTTTTGTACTGGGGAGACACTTGATAGACAGGGTTATCATTGCTAACAAAGTAGTGTATTACGCAACAAATACTAGGAAGGAGTGTTTGCTTTTTAAAGTAGATTTTAAAAAGGATTATGATAAAGTTAGTTGGAACTTTCTAAGATTCATGTTGAAGAAGATGGGTTTTTGTAGGGCTTGGCTCAAGTGGATGGAAGCTTTGGTTTTCTAGAGTTCTATGTCGGTGTGGGTTAATGGAAGCCGGACAAAGGAATTCATTATGGGGAGAGGGATTAGACAGGGGGGTCCTTTGTCTCCTTTACTTTTTATGTCGCTAGCTAAAGGTTTAATAGCGTTATTCAAAAAGGCGATTGTTGTTAGGAAGTTTCTGGGGTTTTCGTTGGAGGATGGGAGTAGTGTTGATATTCTTCAGTTTATGGATGATACATTGTTAATAGGAGAATGGAGTCGGACACAAGTTTGGCCCCTTAAAGTGGTGTTAAGGGGTTTTGAGATCGTTTCAGGGTTGGGAGTCAACTTTTTCAAAAGCAAGCTCATTGGTATTAACATTAGTCCCCACTTTTTGGGGAAGCTTCTAATTTTTTATCTTGTAGGTTAGAGGAAAAAACTTTCAATTTTCTTGGCATTCCCATTGGTTGCAATTCAAGGATAATTTTGATGTGGTATCCTTTGATTAATAAAGTGAAGTCCCAACTCAAAAATTTGAAAGGCATATTCCTAAGTTTAGGGGGGAGGATTACGCTTCCTAAATCAGTTTTGTCCAACATTTCTATCTTCCAGCTTTCGTTTTATAGGGCTCCGGTGAAGATTTGCAAGAGATCACGAATATAAAAAATAGTTTCTTATGGGGTGAAAAGGATGTAAAAGGAAGATCCACTGGGTAGGTTGGGAGTAGGTTTGTAAACCTTTGGAGCTAGGAGGTTTAGGGTTAAAGAAGATTGAGGATTTCAATGTGGCCTTGCTTCTAAAATGGAGGTGGAGGATTCTCAAGGGGGGAGACTCCATTTGGAGAGATGTTTTAGAGGAAAGGTATGGTTCTCTTTATCCCCAATTTTTGAATTTGAGAGTTTCTCGTTCTTCTTGTGTGGCTTCGGCTTGGTGGTCATATTTAGTTAAGGTGGAGATTAGGCTTCTGGAGCCCGTTTTCACCATGAATGTTAGTGTTACTTTGGGTAACAGTGAGGATTCTTTGGGAAATGCAATGGTTTGGTCCTTATTGTCTAAAAGATAATTTTCCTGATTTGTATCAATTAAGCACTAACAAATTTATTACTGTGGTGGAGTCAGGTTGGTGAGATGGGAGGCAGTGGCGATGGGATGTTTTGGTCTTAATATAGGTTCAAATTTACTCCTCTAGAACAGGCTGGCTATGTAACACCCCAAAATAATTAGGTTATTTATCTAATTATTTAATTAATTTATGATGAGTATTTGTGACGTATTTGTGGAGTATATGTAATGTTGTGATGAACATTGTGCTTGATATGATGTCTTGTTTAGTGTATAATGGGGTAGTGAGAATTAAGATGATATTGAGTATTTTCAAGATAAGATATTTTTTTAAATCCAAAATGAATATTTGTGAACACTGTAGAGATCATTTGAAAATGAGCAGTTCAGATAGAATCGAACTTTCGATTGATCCAAGTACTTGGAATCCTATGGATGAAGACATGTTTTCTCTGGATCCCATTGAATGGGGCAAACCTTATACGGAAGACGAACCTTCTATGGAATACAAACCTTCTAACCAAACTTATACGGAAGGAGAACCTTCTACAGAAGAAAAACCTTCTAACGAACCTTATAGGGATGATGAAATTTCTACAGAAGACGAACCTTATATGGAAGGCGAACCTTATACAAAAGACGGGCCTTATACAGAAGACGATTCTTCTACAGAAGATGAACCTTATACAGATTGTCTTGATTTTTATCAAGAAAGTACAGGACTATTGGAGGCGGTTCAAACATGAACAAGTCAACTAAATGGTATTCATGTAGAAATATGTATTATGGATTTTCAATTTCTGGGGGGTAGTATGGGATCCGTAGTGGGTGAGAAAATCACTCAGTAGATCGAATATGCTACCAATCAACTTTTACCTCTTATTATAGTATGTGTGTCCGGAGGAGCACATATGCAAGAAGGAAGTTTGAGCTTAATGCAAATGGATAAAATATCTTCTGCTTTATATAATCATCAAATCAATCAAAAGTTACTCTATGTAGCGATACTTATATCGCCTACTACTGGTGGGGTAACAACTAGTTTTGGGATGTTGGGGGATATCATTATTGTCGAACCAAAATCTTACCTTGCATTTGCGGGTAAAAGAGTAATTGAGAAAATGTTGAATAAGGAAGTGCCTGAAGGTTCCCAATCGGCTGAAGTTTTTTTCCGAAAAAGGCTTATTGGATTCAATCGTATCACGTGATTCTTTAAAGCACTTTTTAAGTGAGTTATTTAAGTTCCATGGTTGCTTTCCTTGGATTGAAAATGAAAACTAATGCAGACTATCATTTTATTTATGTTTTTAAATTTTTAACTTTTCATTAATATCATAAAATTAATATCATAAAGAAATCTTATTATTATTATATAAAAATGATATAAAAAGAAAATGAGAACACACAAGAGTAAAGTGATAAAATAGAATAAAAAAATAAAGATTAACTATTATGAACATATTTCTAGAGAAATAGACAGCAAAATAAATCTAGTTATTTCGTTCGACATTCCTTATATTTAATTAAATATTAAAATTAAATATTTTGATTCTTAATAAATCTTATTCCATTTTTTATTATGGACTTATTCTCTTTTATACTCCATATATATATATATATATATATATATATATATATATATATATATATATATATATATATATATATATATATATATATATATATATATATATATATATATATATATATATATATATATATATATATATATATATATATATATATATATATATATATATATATATATATATATATTAGAATTTAAAAAATAGACTTAGTATAAGTCTATATGAATTCTAGTGATTATAGACTTTCTTTATTCCAATATAAGAAGAATCCAAATATTAATCTAACAATTAACAAAAAATATAACAGGTACAAATATAAAATTGAGGTATCCTATTTTATGATAAATTTACCATCCCTTTTTGTTCCTTTAGTAGGCCTAGTATTTTCGGCAGTTGCAATGGCTTCTTTACTTCTTCAGGTTAAAAAAAACAAGATTTTTTAGATACCACAAGTTTCATATATTTTTAAAAATAGGGTTAAATTTTTTAGTTTGGATTTTTTATTTTGTTCCATTTTTGAATAACTATTGCCTTCAATAAAAAAAGTACTAATATTATATAAGCCTTAGTAGGATAAGGAGATTTTAATATAATAACATAAATATTAATCTAACAATCAAGAAAAAAATAACAGGTACAAATATGAAATTGAGGCACCCATTTTATAATAAATGTTTATGTGTTTTTAGTGGGCCTTGTATTAATTGTAATGTCTGCTTTATTGATTAATGTTCTAAAATTCATTAGTTAGGGGTCAAAAAAGCTTGGTTGTCATTCACAAGACGCATGGCTTGACATTGTACCGTGGTCCCGAAAAATTATCAATTTATTATGGGTGTCTTTCACTCTCTTAGGTTCTTTAGGGATTTTATATATTTCAGTTTCCAGTTATTATAGGAGTGATTTTTTCTCTTTCATTTCGTCTGAATTTGTCATTCCTTTTTTGACACAAGGAGTCACACTGACTTTCTATGGAATTATAGGTCTCTTTCTAAGTTTACATTGGTGGCTTTTAATTTTTTGGAATGTGGGGAGTGGCTATAATTTTTTCGATAAAAAAAATTGAATGGTATGCTTTTTTCGTTACGGATTTCCTGGAACATATCGTTGTATGGAAGATATTCAGTCCCTCATACTACAAGATAACCCAGAACCTAGTACTGGTTTCTTTTATATACAAACCAGAGAATAGGGGACAATTCCCTTGACTCCTATTGATGATATGGAAATCGTTCCATATTCTTGAGTATACCAATGGAAATCGCTGTATCCAAACAATTTCATTTTTCATTCATAGCTTTTGAAACACTTTTTTTTCTTTATCATTCAAATAGGCAATGTCTTATTTCCCTTTCTTTTTTTATTTTTGTATTCTTTTGGATTCTTTTTTCAAATTGAAGGAAAAAGAAACTAACCTCCGAATTACAAATAAAAAGAATAGCTTCTAAATTTATATGAAAAAATTATAAATTCATATATTATAGGCTAAGCTTTATTACTTGTATTTACTTGTAATAGAACTTATGCCTGATAGAAAGATTATTATTATATATAGTTGAAAAATGAGATGAATCTGAGTTCATTAAAGACGAAAAATGGCAAAAAAGAAAGCATTCATTCCCCTTCTATGTCTTACATCTATAGTCTTTTTGCCCTGGTGCATCTCTTTTACATTTCATAAAAGTCTGGAATCTTGGATTACTAATTGGTGGAATATGAAAGAATCCGAAATTTTCTTGAATACTATTCAAGAAAAAATCATTTTAAAGAAATTCCTAGAGTTCGAGGAACTGTTCCTCTTGGATGAAATGCTAAAGGAATACCCGTAAACACGTTTACAAAACCTTCGTATCGAAATCTATAAAGAGACCATCCAATTGATCGAGACAAACAACCTAGATCGTATCCATACAATTTTGCATTTCTGTACAAATATAATTTGTTTCCTTATTCTAAGTGGTTATTCTATTAGGGGTAATCAAGAACCCATTATTCTTAACTCTTGGGTTCAAGAATTTCTATATAACTTAAGTGACATAATAAAAGCCTTTTCTATTCTTTTATTAACTTTTTTTGTACATGATTCTATTCGACTCAGGGTTGGTAACTAACGATTGAGTCTGTCTATAAATATTTTGGATTTACTCTGAATGATCAAATTCTATCTGGTGTTGTTTCGACTTTTCCAGTCATTTTAGATACTATATTTAAATATTGTATTTTCCATTATTTAAATTGTGTATCTTCATAGCTTGTAGTAATTTATCATTCAATGAATTAATGAAAAAATTACCCACTGATCCAATTCTAAAATTTGTTTTTTGTATTTAAAATCTAAACATTTAAAATTGAATTTATTCGTTTTCTTTTTACTCATATTCTTTCTATATTATAGGAAAATAATTGGAGTAAATAGCAAGATCATGGATAGGGAACTATGCCAGTAACCTACATAATGTTATTGTAGAAATTTTCAGGATCAATGATTGGACCATGCAAAGTAGAAATTATTTTTCTTGGATAAAGAAAGAGATTACCCTATCCATTTCAGTATTGCTCATGATATATATAATAATTCGAGCACCCATTTCAAATGCATATCCTATTTTTGCCCAACAAGGTTATGAAAATCCTCGAGAAGCAACCAACCAGATTGTATGTGATAATTTCCATTTAGCTAATAAGCCCGTAGATATTGAGGTTCCACAAGCGATACTTCCCGATACAATATTTGAAGCAGTTGTTTGAATTCCTTATGATATGCAACTGAAACAAGTTCTTGCTAATGGTGAAAAGGGGGCTTTGAATGTAGGAGAAGTTCTTATTTTACCAGAGGGTTTTCAATTGGCCCTTCATGGTCCTCTTTCGCCCGAGATTAAATAAAAGATAGGTAATTTGTCTTTTCAAAGCTATCGTCCCACAAAACAAATATTCTTGTGATAGGCCCCGTTCCTGGAAAAAAATATAGTGAAATTACCTTTCCTATTCTTTCTCCAGATCCCGCTACTAAGAGAGATGTTTACTTCTTAAAACATACTATATATGTAGGCGGGAACAGGGGAAGGGTCAGATTTATCCCGACGGAAGCAAGAGTAATAATAATGTTTATAATGCTACAGCAACAGGTGTAGTAAACAAAATAATACGAAAAGAGAAAGGTGGATACGAAATAACGATAGTAGATGCATCAGATGGACGTGAAGTGATTGATATTATACTACCAGGACCAGAACTTCTTGTTTCAGAGGGTGAATCTATAAAACTTGATCAACCATTAACGAGTAATCCTAATATGGATGGATTTGGTCAGGGGGATGCAGAAATAGTGCTTCAAGATTCGTTACGTGTCCAAGGTCTCTTGCTATTCTTGGCATCTATTACTTCGGCACAAAGTTTTTTGGTTCTTAAAAAGAAAAAATTTGAGAAGGTGCAATTGTCTGAAATGAACTTTTAGGAATGTCAATTTATCAACATATTAAGCTAGTAAAAAGAACTCCATTTCTTGTTTTATTTTCAACTGCACAATTAATTCGAACCATATGATTATGTCGCTGATTATATCGTTGTTTTCACATTTTCATCTCCTAGAATAGAAGTATTAGAATTTATGTTCTAATAGAATTAAATTCGACTCGATACTAAACCTAAAAAAATAGGTAGGTAGATAATATTAAGTAAAGTAGAAAAAAGGAAAACAAGATTCTAGGATGGATAATTTGTCTTTTCCTAGAGTCCAATTCCTTCTTGTTTATGTCGAAATCGATACATAGTGAAGGAATGGACACACAAAAAAGACTAGGAATTAAATTCAGCAAATACAACTTTCTTAATTCACTTTAAAAAAAGAATTTATTCATGAGTCTATATTAGAAATATATTTCTAGTAAGATTCTGTTAGTATAAAAAAGGTTTGGTTCTACCGAATCTTTTTATGTTCAATAGAGTATTAAATATAGTATATAGTTCCCTATTATTACACATAAGATCCTAAAAAAAAGGAAATGGAATTTTTTTAAACATACAATTAAGTTATCTATTGACTCACAGATAAAAATATTCTAATTATGAAGAACTCAACGGGACCCCCTCGAATTCATCAAAGAAAGTGTTGATCCTTGTTGAGTTCTTATGCTTTCATTTCAAAAACTAAATTCATCTGATTATTACAGGGATGATCCCAATCTGGAATATGAACCATAAAAGAAAATACCAATTAAACTGATCACAACAATACCAGCTACAATACCTATTATCCAAAGAGGAATTCTTCCAGTAGTATCGGCCATTTATCCCACTTTCCTCCATATTTGATCAAGTAGTCAGTCATACTAGAGACCTAAACAGTCATAGATAATTATGAAATGATATCCTTCCGAATGGGAAAGAGAATTCCTAATATATACTATTCTCTTTTCTTCAACTAATTGAATTAATTGAAAAAATAATTTGAAAATAAAACAGCAAGTACAAAAATAAGTATTAAACCCCAGTATAGACTGGTACGATTCAATTCAATATTTTGTTCATTTGGGTTTGATTGTGTCGTAGCTTTATAATTCGTATTAGGTTTATCGTTGGATGAACTGCATTGTTGATATTGATCCCAAAAAAGAAACGGTAGGTAGTGCTAGTTCGTGAACAACCAACCATCATATTGTAAAAATGGGATAGGTCCTAGCTATGGTCATTAGA